TTTAGCATGATCGCAAAAATGGAAAGACGGAGGTATCGCAGCCACTTTTTACTTTTTAATGTCAGCGGTTTTTGCTGTCCCCCCCTCCTTAAAAGCTCAATAACTCTGAGCTGCCCCTCTTTAAAAAGCTCTACAACTTTGAGCTATTCCCCTAAAAATAGCTCAACAACTTTGACCTGCCCCCCCCCCACAAAATTGGGGGTGCTGGGTGAATTTTTGCACCCCGGTGCTGCATATGCTAAAGACGGCCCTGCCTTGTGATGTGTGAAAAGCTGCTCCAGAGGGTTGAGGACCCCCTGGAACCCCATGAGAGGAAGATTCCATGAGATGGAATCTTCCATTCTGAGGAGGAAAGATATGCATGAAGGGGCATTGAAGCTGAGCTCAAGAGCCAATCTTATTTTAGCAACCTGGAAAAAGAATCTGGGTCAAGGCTGACAGTGACCAACTTAGATGAGTATTAAGGGAGGCTTGGAGCAGAGCAAGGCTGGAGTCAGAGAAGCCAAGAGGCTAGGAAGACCAGGCAGAAGAGCGATGCTCACAGTGAGGACCAGGTGGGCAGTTGCTCAGGAAAAGGTCAGCATCTCCCCTCAGGGTTTTCTGTTAACAGCATATTTGAGAAACTGATGACTGAAACTGCAAACCTAGTCACCTTTTCTTGGAAGTCCCATTGAAATCACAAGTATGATCCAGGAGGACTTTGGATTCAGTAGAAGCTGGACCTCCCCACGTTCACCTTTGATGTACCGCTTCACATTCTCTACCATTGTCAGAGCACCAACAGTGGCACCAGAGATTTGCACGACTGCCACAAGGAGGCCTCCTCTGGTTGACCTTCTTCCTCACCCACAGACCCAGTGGGTTCAGCCCCACTTGGCCGGACACTTAGAAGTGCTCCCTAAGTATGTGATCCTATACATGTCTTCTTAGTTGAATTCAATGGGGCTTTATCCCAGGTAAGTGGATATAACTTGTTAAGGGATTCCAGAGCTGTCATATCCTGTAATGTTCTTGAAATATAATACAATACTGTATAATAATATATCAATTGCCAATATTTTTTAATTTCATCACAGTCCCAGAATATATGAATATAATTTGCATGTGCTTATCCACAGCACCAGCAATTATCATAAAACAGGTTATTAAAATAAGCTTTAAGTTATATGAGGTTAAGTGCCACTGGTGTCACATTTTATAAAAATTCTCCTTCAAATGTATTGCAATTTAATTTCTCCCAACTTTCTCGCCTCACCAATGCAATCCTTTAGCCCGAATTGTGATGCGCAGATCTTGCTCCCATCTCTTCTGGTATGGTTATGTGTCTTCAGAGTATGGTTCCTTAAGGATTCCATATATCATACTAACTGGCCATTTTTAACTGACCTCTGCAACTTCTAATGGCTTCTACACTGCATCATATTTTCCAGTTACAGCCACCTTGAAAATATTGATGTATTTTAGAAGCATATTGATTCATTTTGTTTATACCTTCTTCAAAGATACAGCAGTATCGCTCTTATAAAATTATATTTATGCGCATATACCACAAGTGTCCCAATTTGACATACTATGTAATATCACTCTCTGATTAATTTGTTTATTATAACAGCAGGAGTTATATGGAGAAAGATCGAGACTAGTTGACCCATACCATATAAATAGCACCAGTATGGATTTTCACATGCTACTTTAAGATATTTTTATTGTAATTCCATACAATATTCCTTAAAGACAGAAACCTCCCAAACTGCTCGTATTCATAAAAATCTATTCCGTTATATTAGTCATTGGTATACCCACGTCCATAAATTAGGTATCCTACATGCATCATAAAATCTTTTTTTCCCATTGTGTGGAATTCCTCCAATGAGAGGAATTAGCAATAAATTTTTCAGATAAAGTCACTTGACATGGATGACATATTTGATACAGAGTCAGAGATGGTTCGAAGTAGTACCCTGGTCATATTGTTTTGGATACCTTTCAGCTTGTACAACCAGAGGATCTGGACAAACGGTTCAGAGGAGTCTTCTGAAATATGACAGAATGGGTTTGGACGTGGGCCTCACAGGTTGTGAATGCCTTCTTGAGGGATGGGGTAGTTTCTACTGTCCCAAAATGAGGCGAGGATGAGACTTCTTTTAAAGAAGCTACATCTACATATACAGTGGTATCTCGGGTTAATAACTTAATTCGTTCCGGAGGTCCGTTCTTAACCTGAAACTGTTCTTAATCTGAGACACCACTTTAGCTAATGGAGTCTCCCACTGCTGCCATGCCACCTCTGTGCGATTTCCGTTCTCATCCTGAAGCAAAGTTCTTAACCTGAGGTACTATTTCTGGCTTAGCAGAGTCTGTAACCTGAAGTGTCTGTACAGTGGTACCTCGGGTTACATACGCTTCAGGTTACATACACTTCAGGTTACACACTCCGCTAACCTAGAAATAGTGCTTCAGGTTAGGAACTTTGCTTCAGGATAAGAACAGAAATCAGGCTTCGGTGGTGCGGCAGCAGCAGGAGGCCCCATTAGCTAAAGTGGTGCTTCAGGTTAAGAACAGTTTCAGGTTAAGTACGGACCTCCGGAACGAATTAAGTACTTAACCTGAGGTACCACTGTAACCTGAAGCGTCTGTAACCCGAGGTACCACAGTATACATAAATGTATATCATTTTATTTGTTCAAACCATGCTCAAGGCAGCTTACAACATAAAAAAATACATAATCGCAGACATAACAAAAGGAGGCATAAGCAATAAATAAAACATATCAAAAAGTCCGCAGCCAAACTGAACAATTTCCACATAAATCATGATAAGATTTAAATTAAAGGTTTTAAAATGTAGTATTAGTAACAGTAGCAACAACAAAAACAACGAAAACCCCTCAGCAATATCTCAGCCCAATATTCTGTTCAGGACCCTTAACCGCCCGGGGTCCTTTTCCTTTTCCTCAGAGGCCTTACCTTTTGTGGCTGGAGTCATTCAGAGCCTTGCCCTCAGGGACCAGGTAGGAATAGAACTGCAAGGCAGATAGCAGATCTTCCAAGACTTACAGACAAGACGGTCTCTGAGCTCTTCAGCAGCCTCAGCTTTTGTAGCCAGAGTTAGTCAGGTCCCAATCCTCCTAGGCCAGGTGAGAAAAGTTCTGCAAGGCAGGGAGCAGGTCTTCCAGGACTCACAGCCAAGATGGTCTAGGGACCCTTTGGAGTAAGATACCTCAGTGTCCAGTATTCCATTCTTGCACAAAGTGGTGGTATTGGATGAAGGTGGCTATTGGACTGGATTGGTTGCCCTGTTAGATGACTTCGCAAAGGAATAGAAGGTAGGAGTGTAAACCTATTAGTGCTCCTGGACCTCCCAGCAGATTTTGATGCCATTTACTAGGCTACGGTATGCTGTTGCACCAGCTGTTCAAGTTGGTTTTAGGAGGTATGGTGTCATGGTGGTTCTGGTCTGTCCTAGAGATTCTGTCTCAGATGATGGTGGAGGATTCATCTTACATCCTTTACCTTTAGCTGGTGGGGTGCATTAAAGTTCCATTTGCCCCACCCACCCCAAAGCTGATTATTTCTTCCAGCAATTCCAAACAGATGTTAAACTTGAGGTTTGGGTTGCAACGTCGGCAATATGCAACAGATTAGTCACCATTTCCATGTATATATTTCCTATACATTCCATTTCAGTCCACCTGCCTTTTCAAACCCCTTTCCCTCCTGAACTGGGACTGGGACTTCCTCTGAGGAGAAAGGCACCTAATGCTCATTTTTTTCAGAAATGCAGCGATGAAAAATATGGTAAGGTTGCCCAACTATGAAGGGTTCTGTTTACGGCTTGGATAATTTTTGTGGCCTTTTGTGTATTTCCTTTGGCGTAGATTACATTAATTTATCATCTGAGAGTAACGCTGATAGAAATATTTTAGTCAATTGCTCTTTTAAGTTCATGTCAACGAGCTTGGTACTAGCCTCTGGCCAAAACAAATAGGATACATTATTTTATTGTGTGTTCAGGTGGAGATCCCAGGAATTATTTCCTAGGTAAGCCGGAACATTCGTACACTTAGCTTAAAGGGGAGGAGAAAGGAAGGGAAGTCAGTTGGGTCAGGTTCCTCACTTGGTTCCTCAGTCCTTGGGAGCTCTTCTGTCCATCATCAGGATCTTTAGGTAGCTCAGTTCTAGTCATATCCCACAAACACTGTTTTTTCTTACTGCAGCTCTGCTGAATGACTGTGCTGGTCCCCGGGGGGGGGGGTTACCGTGCGGCGTGGTCTGAGTCCGGTCCTGGGTTGAGGGTCTGGAGGCTGTCTGCCAAGGGCGAAGCGGGGTCCAAGGCAAGGAGCCGGGTATGGTCAGGAACTCCAGAAGAGCAGGTCAGGGTGCTGGCAGGAAGAGGTTTCCAGCGATGTTGCTCCCGCAACCTGGGACTGGGCTGACTGGCCTTTATCTCCTCTGGTGCCTAGGGCGGTCCCAGTCCACAGGTGACTCGCCTCTCCTGGCCTTAAGGCGAGCACTCCTCCTGATAGAACTTAGTTCCCTCCGCCTCTCTGCCCTGAGCCTCTGCAGGTCAGGAGAGGCTAGAGGGTTACTGGACCCAGAGGCAACCTCACCTTCCCCTGACCGGGCTGGGAGAGGAGCACCTGCAGGCAATGGGTCCTCAACCACCCCCGGAGCCAGAGTGGATTCATCTGGTGTCTGCTCCTGAGGATCCAGCACAGGTGAGGGCCCTTCAGATTCAAGGCCCTGCCCCGGCTCAGCCGGCCCTGGAGGCGGGGACTCCTGTGCAGGCTGGGATTCCTCCGGTTCAGCCTCTGAATCAGATTCCCAGGCCATCACAATGACATAATTGCATAGTTCCTGCAGATCCATGGCAGAACATCTGCTTTGCACACAGAAAGTCCCAGACTGGATTCCCAACATGTCCAGGTTAGGCTGAGAGAGAATACTGCCTGAAACTGCAGCACTTCTGCCTGTCCTTGGAGACGATACAGAACTAGATGGTCTGGCTAACAGAATAGCTCAGTTGGTAGAGGTTGAGACTCTTAATCCCAGGGCTGTGGGTTCAAGCTCTATGTTGGGCAGAAGATTCCTGCATTGGAGGGGGTTGGATTAGATGAACCTTGTGGTCCCTTCCAATTCTGTGATTCTACGACTGCATAAGGCATATTTCTGTGTTCCATCTACTGCTTTGATCACGCTCAGGGGAGAACCATCTTTTGGTTTGTAAACATTCATGATAAGAATTTATCCCAACCTCTCCCCCATTTCCTCATTCCCTAGGCACCTCACTCTGTTTTCCTTGCCACAATTTGTTGTTGTTGTTGTTTAGTCGTTTAGTCGTGTCCGCCTCTTCCTGACCCCCTGGACCAGAGCATGCCAGGCACTCCTGTCTTCCACTGCCTCCCGCAGTTTGGTCAAACTCATGCTGGCAGCTTCAAGAACACTGTCCCACCATCTCGTCCTCCGTCGTCCCCTTCTCCTTGCGCCCTCCATCTTTCCCAACATCAGGGTCTTTTCCAGGGAGTCTTCTCTTCTCATGAGGTGGCCAAAGTCTTGGAGCCTCAGCTCCACGATCTGTCCTTCCAGTGAGCACTCAGGGCTGATTTCCTTCACAATGGATAGGTTGGATCTTCTTGCAGTCCATGGGACTCTCAAGAGTCTCCTCCAGCACCATAATTCAAAAGCATTAATTCTTCGGCGATCAGCCTTCTTTGTGGTCCAGCTCTCACTTCCATACATCACTACTGGGAAAACCATGGCTTTAACTATACGGACGTATGACCTAATACGAGGATGGGAACTGCTATTCCCTCATCCCTACGTAAATCTATGTTCTCTCCAGAAGCAAGAGGCACAAATCCCCTTCAATCACTTGGTAATAGAAGTACAAAATACGACTTGAGCTCTGCTTTGGATGCCAGCAACAATCCATTACACAATTCTGCTATAAACTGCCATAGTCGGCTGCTGTGGTACTAACCACATAATGCAGTCTCACTTGGGAATTGCTTGTGTAACATAGACTGGAAATTTTATGATGCAGGAGAATGAACACTACAAACTAGCACCAGTTTTGTAACTCTTCCTTATTTGGATAGTCTTGAGCCCCCAATGGAGGGGTGCAACTCTCCACCTTAGAGCAGATTTATGCCACAAGGTGCCATAGGAAGGCACTGGACATAGTAAAAGACCCATCGCATCCTGGTCACTGTCTCTCCGAGCTCTTGCCGTCGGGACGGAGATACAGGACGATGAAGACAAGAACTAGCCGTCTTAAGAACAGCTTCTTCTCCAGAGCGGCCCTGAATGGGAAGCCCGGACTTTGAAAGTCATCTAATCTCCCTTGCTGTATTATACTGTATTGATTAATTAGTGTTTTTATGGAGCAGTCAAGTAATTTCGTTGTCCCCGAAGGGTGCAATGACAATAAAGATATTATTATTATTATTATTATTATTATAGAGACTGCCCCCCGTTAAATGTCCCACCAGCTGAGCATAAGACTGACAGTCTTGCTGATGTCACAACCTTTGCAAGATGTTTAACCAGGCCTTATGTTTCTAATGAGATGACTATCTTGGTATTGACAGTTGAACTATTATGTCACCAGGAATGAAATGGGACAATCCTGAATTTGAGAACCAGAAATCTGATGTAACACAGAGTTAGGGCTCGAAGAGACCGATACAAATAGGGAAAGGGTTGCAGATTAGTGCTGAGTCAAAAAGAAATTGCCTCCTGCATTTTTGTTTTTACCATTTTCTATCACTTAATGAGAAAAAGAAATTCCAGTGGAAAAATAATCAAAGGGGAGAGAAAAATTCAGTGAAATTCTCATGGGCTTTTCATGCACTTACCTTATTTTCAAGGTGGCTGAGGGGTGATTGTATCTTTTATTTCGTTCTACAAATAATCTCTCCAGTGGTCTGCACTCTTCAGATTCCCCCACTTGCTTTGTTTATTTTGGTTCACAGTATTTTATATTCTGTTTGGTTGTAATAAAATCACTTTGCACTTTACAACAAATAAAAATATATTTTAAATTTTTTAAAAAAATCTAACTTCAATTAAAGTCCAGAGGGAAAACAAAATGAGAGCTCCTCCCAATGGACTTTTTGGAGTAGGAAACTTGGGCAGCAGAGTGTTGTATTTGTGCATACTGGGAAGAAAGCTCACAACCACCAATATTGGCCATATTTGAAGATGGCTATCATACGGCCTCTCAGTCTCTCTTCTCCCTTCTCCAATAAGCACCATGCTCATCCAAAGTTTTTCCCATCCAGCCTCCTAACATATCCTTCCTAAGGCTAATCCGACCAAAATGAATCTCCCGCAGCACTAAATTCTCAATTTTCCCAGACCACCCATCCTAATCCCACCCTTGCTGCAAATAAATAGTTCCAATATTCTAGATGAAAATAAATTTTACTATGTGTGTATATAAACAAAGCAGCTCCTCAGAGCTAGAACATGGTGGTTAGTGGTTGCATTGCTCCATAGTAATTTTAAAAAACCTAATATAAAAATGTACATTTCCCTACAGACTAGTGAACAATGTTTGTGATAGAAAGGCAAATGTCACACTGGAAACATCATCTGTGGTATTCTGAGACATCCAAGGACTGGGCCTTTTTTTTTCTTCTTGACTTTTCAAGGATTTTAGGACCAAACAGGATGCGATACCAGGGTTATGGTGGGGTGTCAGGGGGCCAAAACTTGGGTCTTTTAGGCTGGGCTCCTGTCCTCCCGCCCTTAAATTTTGCTTACAAGGCAGCTGGGAGCCCTGCAGGGTGCAATACCAGTGAAACTTTGCCCAAATTCAAATTAAGTGCAGGCAGCTAGAGACTGAGCTTGTGCTTTCTCTCTCTGAAAGTTGGCCTAACTTTGCATCCTAACATAAAAGTTTGCATGTGTATATTTACTGCACATTTACATCCTCATAAACCTTCGCCCTGAGTTTCTTAAAAATATATTTAGCGACAAGTGCAGCTCTGTTTCTCTTTCTTTTTCACTTAACAGCCGCAAGGGGTGTGGGTGGATTTAATCCTTTGCCCTCCACTGCAGTCCCCACAAAAATCTCTGCTAACTGCTATTGGCCTAGGAATGGAAACATCCAGTGGTAGCGATTGGTGAAATCCATTGTCATCAGTATAATAGTGAGGAGCGAAAGGGTTAAGCCCCTTGCTATGCTCTGCAGTCTCAATTAAACACCCACTATTAAGTGTATTTAGTGGGACGCGGGTGGTGCTGTGGGTTAAACCACAGAGCCTAGGACTTGCCGATCAGAAGGTTGGCGGTTTGAATCCCAGCGACGGGGTGAGCTCCCGTTGCTCGGTCCCTGCTCCTGCCAACCTAGCAATTCGAAAGCACATCAAAGTGCAAGTAGATAAATAGGTACCACTCCGGCGGGAAGGTAAACGGCATTTCCATGCGCTGCTCTGGTTCGCCAGCAGCGGCTTAGTCATGCTGGCCACATGACCCGGAAGCTGTACGCCGGCTCCCTCGGCCAATAAAGCGAGATGAGCGCCGCAACCCCAGAGTTGGCCACGACTGGACCTAATGGTCAGGGGTCCCTTTACCTTTACCTTATTAAGTGTATTTAAAGATAGAAGGAAGGAACTGTACTTATCACCTTAGATTTGGCCCTGATTTTGGTGTAGCAGACAAATGTTTTGGACTTGGGCCAGGGTTCAAAACTCCACTCACTGAGCAGCCTTGGGGAAGTCACTTTCTCTCTGCTTAGTGCGGGTGCTTGTGAGGCTCAAATGAGACAATCCACGGAGATCATGCCTACTTATCTATTCTTATGTTACCTGTAAGCTTAGCTTCTGTTTCCCCTGCCCCACACTGACATTGGAAGCGGGTGGAGCAGGGGAAATTCGCTGCTCTGGAAGAGAGATAAACAACTGACTAAGTCACATTTAGTTAGTTAGTTAGTTAGTGTGCCACCCTTCACCCACAGATCTCAGGGCAGTTCACAACATAAAAATACAAGATAAAAGCACAAAACAAACAAACAAACAAACAATACCTATATTGTCAATGTACAACCTGTGTACAATGAAATTAACCAAGCCTCCCCCCCCCAAACACTCAATCTCATTGCACTCTGTGTGCTTGTCACACAACACACCAACCCCAAAAGTCAGTTGCACTATATTATTTTCCATTAAGCAGCCTAACAGCTCACGGATAGAAACTGTTTTTAGCCTGTTGGTACGACTGATTGTACTTCTATATCTCCTGCCCAAGGGTAGAAGATTAAAAAGGTGCTGGCCAGGGTGTGAATCATCCCTGAGAATTTTTCTTGCTCTCCTAAGGCAACGATCCCTTGCGATGTCATCTGTCGGGCTCAGGGGACAGCCCATAATATCATGAGCTGTATTCACCACCCTCTGTAGAGACTTTCTGTCCGTGGCTGTCAAGCCAACGTACCGCACTGTGATACAATATGAGAGGACACTTTCTGTTGTGGACCGGTAAAAGGAGGTCATCAATTGTTGTTTAACATTGTTCTTTCGCAAGACCCTGGGGATATAGAGTCTCTGTTGGGCCTTCCTAACCACCTGAGCTATATTGTTATTAATAAATGATTAAAACAAGAACAAAAAACTCCCCACAAACCAGTAACTCCTCCTCACCTGCTCCCACAAACACATTTAAAAGGGGTTTAAGATATTTATCATCCAAAGGCTTGGTATTTGTTATTTTCAGTTTACTTTGTGTGTGATTGTTTCCAACTCCCATTTTTGCCGCACTCTTGTCAATCATCTGACTGTATTACGATGTCAGAGATGACCTCAAAGGGGCTCGCTGTGCGTGAGCCTCACTTTGTCCATTTGAGTCCTAACTGTACCTGCAAATGAACTTCAAAGGGAGTTACTTGCCAGTGAACAACTGGGAAGGCACTTTTTTAAGCTCCTAATTGTTCCTTTGGAGCCATGTGTTTACCTATCCCTGTGCACGACATCACGTCTGACCTCAAATACGGGGTAGGTGGATGAGGTTTAAGGAAAATGGCCTCACGGACAAAATTAGGAGCCTGTCCAGGTCTGCTGAGGCCTGTTGTCCAGAGGTTCAC